CTATCTCTCTTCTTTATTCTTTTAATCTCTTACTTTCCCCTAATCGGACGCTAGTGGGACCAAAAAGCCTGCTAGTGAAAGGAAAGTCGTTATGCTATACGGTCTAGCATAGGCCACGACTAAATTTCCGTAGGTTCATGCCTGGCTTAAGTGCAGCTCGGTAGGCAGCAGCCTGCCAGGGTGTGAACTGAGCAATAACAATAACAATAACAATAACAATATTGAAGTCATTAAAAGTGAAGTACTTTTTACTGTAGATACAATAGTTTAAGACTTCAACTAACCCGCATTTACAAATACCCGAACTGTACAAGTCGTGCATCGCATCAACACTTAAATTTTCGGTAACATGGAAAGATGGAAGCTCGTTGAAAACCGTATTACCGTGTATTCCTGTTTCACTAGGCTGTCCTATTTCTAAATCCAAAGCATAATCTGACGGAGGCAATCAGCGTGTTCTTGACAATCCGACTTTAGAAGCACTTTAGGCCGTCTGCAAAAGCGGCAATAAAATGTAGCATTAAATCCATTCGCGAAAAGCAGCATCGAGTGATCACCCAAATTATCGCCTTGTATCAAACATAGCACAAATCTAACTAGTTTTGTTTCTCCATCAAGAACAATATTAATTCCTTCACTCTCAATTCGTTTGAATCTATCGACTAAAACATGCATAAGCATATTCATACCTACTACCTTAATATCTGATTTCTTAACCATTCCAGCCACAAATATGTTGCATAACCTTGATTGGAATTCCTTGGGTATTGTAGGGACTAGGGAATTTATAATATATACCACAAACACTGTGCCCATTACTGTGTGAACTTTGTGAATCGTTGATTTCATATTCATCGGCATATAACCATACAGGCAGCACGTATTCATTTTCATACTTTTGTTCAATAGCTTTCCATGTACTTCCATTTATTTAATTTGAGATTCCAGTCGATTTTTGTAGATTTTTTGTATTCTGTAACGTGGTTTTTAATATATCATTGCATTCAAAAAAAGCTTTGATTTGGAATTCAATAGGCATAACAATCAAGTAATTATTTGCATGTACTCTGTCCCCGTCGTTTTCGATACCTAACAATTTTGAAGCAGTATTGTCATTTTCCTCAATTGTGACTATCGTTGGCAGTTCAAATCCTACACTATTTTTTAAAGACTTAAAAAACTTATGATCTGTACTTATTAAGTCAAATATGGTTTTCATCTTATCAATTTCCCTGCGCTTTGGTCAGAGAGTGTATAGGGCGTCGTTGTGCCAATTTGGTCGTGGCACATTTCGAGTATGAGAGAGTGATTGCAGTTTGCTCAAAAGTGCCTGAGTAAAATGCAAGTATTTTCGATGATTACCCGTAGTTGTTACAGTGAAGATATACACCCATATTCTCGTTTATGTCTGGACGTGTTTGCCATACAGAAACATTTTTATTTGATTTTGTGTGGTGGATGGGTTTCGGGCGTGGACAGGCATATGGGTGATAATATTAAGTTTACGTTAGGATAACGTTGAAACATTGAGAAATGTATCGCTTCAGTTTAAGAAGCACTTCACTTCGCAACCGATGAACCATTCTGACGGCCCACATTGCCGTGCAGGCGCCGTGTGTTGGCAGGGTCCAATATTGGACAGTTTGACGTTTATAAAGTACCATCAGTTAAAACTGTATTTTTGAACTTTATCTCTATACATTATTAGATGTTTCTTAGTAGATTATCATGTTGGTGTAAGCTGATTCAAAGAGTAAATGGTATTAACATTGAGCTGTCCATAGTTGGGCGTTGTTGAACTTCTGGTACTTGCACAACATTTCATGTGAATACCAAAGTAACCATATAATCACAAAATAGCTTTAGTTGTGGGTTCAGTGTGGTACAATGTCACTGAGATATGGTTAGTTGGGTATTCAGATGAAACTATTACTTTAAAAAACTAATCCTGGTTGTATCTCTTTTTCGTTTTTTCGTTTGCATGTAACACTGTTTGATATTACTAACCGCACCGAGCCTTCATTCCGGGTGGTGAGCGAACCTGAAGAAGAAGAAGAAGACCATAAACCCCTTCTCGGAACGAGTGTTTTGTTAGTGGACCTGGTCTGCGATTCAAGGTTGGACTCTGTGATGATAAGTATCACATAACAGGTAAAGTAGGCAGGCAACAGGCAACATCATCATCAGACTGTAAGTATTATTGATAATCATTATAACTAAATGAAACATAAATGCATATTCATCAGCACTCATTCTCTACCAATTCTGTTTTTCAATACCTTTTTCTCTCCTTTCTCTTATCCTTCATCTATGCATCTACGCTTCTATGTTAAGGATCACCTAAACCCTCATTCAATATTCGGCTGATTTCAATCGACTCGCATAAGTCATTATCTAAGAGCCATCTCATCTTTATCTATCTGATTGCTGCATGGAAGGTGTATAATTGGTCACCAAAATTACACTGGTGACCAGGCTCAATGCCCCCTCCAGCATGACACAATAACAATAATAACAATAACAATATGGTTTTCATCTTATCAATTTGTTTTTGAAAGTTAAAACTATTTTCTGAATCAGGTATGTGTTGTTTGATTTTTTCTAACTTATCTGCTATTTCTGAAAACATGAGGCTTATTTCATTTTGAGTTTGATAGACATCCTTCGCGTGAAATTGTTATGTTTATGCATAAAAAGAGTAAGTTTTAGCGCCATTTAGTCGAGTATATTGATTGGATCTTGGTCCACATGAACTGGCTGGTCATCACCGCTTTCAATACACCTTATTTTCGACGAACTACCTTCGGAATGGTATGATAAAGAACCTTTCATATTTGTCGGAATATTTAGATACAGCGAAGACTGATCATGCTGACTTATACTGCTGTTTGCAAGGTCGGTTTTGCTGTCGTTCAGAATGATGAATAACATGTTTTTTGAATGGATATACCTTAGAGAAAATTTGGCGGCATCCGGATATTGTACATCTATATTTATATACGGACGGAACATGATGGTAGGCTTTAAGATGTGTAAGGTATTCACTTGGAGTTGCAGAAAGGATTGTGCATCCAGGTGCATCACTGTCCACTTTTTTCGTCTCGAGATAAGCCTGGAGTTTGTTTATGGAAGCGCAGGATTCTCGTTGTTTTATGCCGTAAATATAACCACTGAGAAAGTGCCAAACCAATTTCGAAATTTTTGAAAACGGAAGTCCAAGGACGGCACTCTGTTTAATTAATACGTCAACTGCTCTTGATGCCGATTGAAGCTCATAGCACACATCGCCGTACCAGACAAAAAAAGTTCCTTGCAACTGGTCCAAGTTTTCTCCCACTGCAACTAATTTTGGTACGATTGGAAGATTCAGCTCTGTGTAGCTCCGGTAGGTTTCTTGAATTTTTGATTGAGCTTTCTCTAAAGAATCTACGAAAATCAGCGTATCCTCTTGTCCAACCAACATGGTAGGTTTGAAACGAGATGCAACCGGAATTGGTGGCAGAACGGTACTTAGCGCTAGCAACAGTGTACAGATTTTCGTATCTATAAAAAATAAGGACATTAAAATGAATATGTATTACTTATTAACATCAACAGCTGGGATGTTTTACCATTACTTGCTCCTTCATCAGTCAATCGCTCGATTAATGATCCAGCCGATGGGTCCCCTGCCTTCTTGGAAATGTATTCTGTAATCTGCGGTACCAAGTGTGGTAATTTCATCAATCCGTTTTCAGCATTCGGAAAAGCTTCGTGAAAATCAATATCGATCTAAAATTAAATTGGAAACAAATACTTAATACAAGCTATTTTCAGTAAATTGAATTAGTCCCTCCACCACAGATAAACAGCCGCATACTTCAAACATTAAACGATCAAAACCATCGAGACGAAAATTCTATCTAATGAACACACTGGGTCATGCAAGGACTAGATGGCATTACTGTAGTGTTTTAATTTCAATAAACTACTATTTTTTTTTCCTTGATTCCTTTTCCGTGCTGAGCACCAATGCTACCGACGCGACGTTAGGGAGGCAGCACCCACACCTGGACCCTACCTATCGACCCATCAACTCATGAACCGGGGACCAACGGCTTTACTTTCGACGTGATCAGAGATGTTATGCCTCAGAACATCCCGGTGGCGCCGACTGGGATTGAACCCAGGCCTGCTGGGGTGAGAGGTAATCACGCTAATCACTACACCACCGGTGCCGCTAATAAACTACTGTTAGACCTTGTGTTAGACACGATTTAATTCCACTCGACGATAACGATATTTTTGGTTGCAAAATGTTTTGGGTGTTACGTCTGTTTATGTGTGCTATTACTTCAAAGCGATAGAGGAAGAACAGCGCTAGTGTTCTGATGCAAAAAATTGTTTCAACAGTGACTACAGGGCACTATTTTTTCTTAATAGATTATTAACTTCATTTACAAAACTCATCAGTTGAAAACCATGCTGACATTTGTATTGCTGATATGCCGTGAAAATTTGGGGAATACGTTTTCTGGATAGCAAGTCAATTTTGCGGGCTTCGTAGCTAATTTTCCACCTTTCAAGGACAACTGACCATGGTTCACTATTTAGCGTTAACCATTTAGCTGCTTCTTCGGCAACTACGTTTCGATTAGGCTGGGAATCGACTGTTGATGGCTTGGATGCTTGGTATTGGTTCTCTCTTGTTCCACGCTTCCGTTTCCTTTGTTTCAGGTTGCCTATCTTGTTTCTATCTTTTTATCTTATCAATCTTTCCACCGTGGTTTTTTCGATCCCCGCTCCTTGGGATAAAATAATTCTCCTAGAAAAACAAACATTCGTTTTGGTTGTTCTTATATTCTATGATTGTGACTTACCATACGTTCAAACTTAAAAAGAGATGTTACTGCCAGAGCGTATGTTCGGAGGTCATCAGTTAGTAGCTTGCTTCTGGTGATTAAATGGTACTTTGCAATAATGCTGGAAAACATTGCTCTCATGATGTGAAACCGTTATTGCTAAAGCGGTCGAAGAGGATTCGGCGAATTTGTTGGGATTGGTCTGTTTAAATGATGGAAGAGCACTTTTCTGCTGAATTGCTCTGCTTCGTTCAAACTGTTTCCAGATTCTGAAGACCGAATTGTATCGTCTGCTAACGATACAATGAGCGCATCCGTATAACTGTCAGTGGCTGACGATGTGGTTCCGATGGCATCAGAATAACCAGTTCCTGGTTGATTTACATGAGCAGATGACGTTACTATGACAAAGCCTTGGGCAAAGTAACCGGATTTATCATTCGTAGAAGTTGAAGGAAGTTGATGGTTTGGTTCGTTTAGGTTTGCAGCCTCATTAGAGGAAACCTGGTAGATCCGTTGATTGACCAGATTACTCCCTCTTGTGATCTTAGTCGACACAACCGAGGACCGAACAACATTTGCTTCACCGGAAAGCCGCAGACGGTATCCTGGCTCCAGTGACGTTATTAAACATTCAATTTGGGACTCCTACAGAAAAGTAAACAAAAAAGCGGATGAATTTTTATTTACATGCAAAATAGGGATTTATAAACTTACGTTTTGCGTTTGCTTTTCGTGTTTGTTTTCATTGGTTTCCACAGACCTACAGGTAACATCCGATGGGGGTTCATCAAGCGCATCCGTTTTACTGTGAACGGCTGATGATGTGGCTTGAATTGAAGTAGAAAAAACTGCTGCTGGTTTATTCAAACGAACAGGCAATGTTGTTAATACATATTCCGGAGTTGTTGATGTTGAGGTTAAACCATGTCCATAATCCGAATCGCTTCCTTTGGAAGCCTCGTTAGATGAGAACTGAGAGAAATTTTGATCGAACTGATTACTCTCGCTTGTGATCTCGGTAGATGCAACCGATGAAGAAGCAATATTAATTGCTCCGGTAAGTCGCAGGTGGTACCCTGGTTTCAGCGACGTTAGTAAACTAACGATTTTGGAATCCTGTATAAAATAGGAAAACAGTTAACGGATGAATTGTTGTTTTTTAGAATATTTAGATTATCTTACATTTCGTGTTCGCCAAGAGGAAATCAATTCATGCAACACTGGATATTTCCAAGGTATTTTTGTTGGTTCTAAAGACTTGCGAAGTTGATCAGTCGTAATCCTGAGCAAATCGACAAAATCGACTCCACATTCTATTCAAATGAAAAAAAAATACACATCAATATAGGATCCAAGCTCACATTAAAGCGTTCTTACCATCAAATATTTCTAACAAATGTTGCGTGACTAGCAGCTCTTGCAGTTTGTTTTCAACAGACGCCATTTTGCTTATTCTTCGTAGGGTAAACGCTCCTATAGTTGTGGTACGTTAGAAGCGTTAGGTTCCTATAGTTGTGTATGGAGACTCCGTACACAACTATAGGAACATAACGCTTCTAACGTACCGCAACTATAGGAGCGTTTCCCCTACACAGAATGAACGCGGAATGCAGCTGGCAAAATGAATTTAAAAAAGTACGTGATTTTCACGTAAGAGAGATGGGGCAACTGCAGTAAAAGTAACTGGCGCTTCATTTCATATACAACCAAAGTCCGATGATAGTTAGATAGTGTAGATTATTTTGAGTGTTGGAATTAATATTATCGTTTCAAATGAAAACCTCGTTGAAAACGTTCTGTATACGTTAAACATAACTGTCGTGACCTGGCCGAGGTTTCAAGCCTCAGCCATGTGTCTTAACAAAGACCAGTGAGGTGCACATCCGTGCGCTACAACATTAGTTAAATGACTGATTCGATCATGCCAAGCGATGCACACAAGGCTCAATTCGTTTCGTTCACGCATGCATATGTGTGGGTTTATTTAGACCATCGAATCAACGGTACACGCTAACTGAATCCAACTCAAATTGAGTATATCAAAACTTGAGGGGCCAAACTTTACTCTTTATTGTATTATATATACAAATGTAAATTGTAATCTTTCATTATCATTATTATTATTATTATTATTCCACGCCAACTATGTATACCACATTCTTCCCCTCCTCCACTCTCATAAGTACTAATAAAAGTCCTTTTTATTATTATTATGGGGGTTTTGACTATGCAGGATGGCATTTACAGACTAAAACAAGCTCAACAGATTCAAGTGCAAAGTTTTATAATCTAGTTTTATAATCCTTATTATTTATTTTTTAAATTTACTTCATCTTTTTCACCAATTTTGACAATATCCTTTACTTCATCATATCTACTAGTCTCAGCACAGCCATATACTTCCATGAACATACACAATTACATTTATGACAACTTCTACAATATTATCAAGTTAACCATTAACACCGACTTCAACATCATAAATATCACCAACTATAATAACTACATGAACTTTTAATATCATCAGATAAGTATTACCATCGTCCAGTAACTAAGATAGTATTCGGCTATCGTATCTAATTACATTTTCTTTAAAGTAACTCCCACTTAGAAACTCTCATTTCTCCAGTCACCATTTGATTTATATAAGAATAATTCTCAAAATACTTTCAGCTCCTAATTGTATAAGCTTAATAGACTCTTAGTGCAAAAAATATATCCAGAACTAAATAAACATCATAAAATTACTAATTCATCTTAGATTGAAGCATCTCCGACTTCAAAACTCTTATTTCTTATTACTCATTATAATAAATTTCTCAAAACCCTCAATCAAAATCTCAAATTACTAATTCATCTTCCATTGAAGTAGCTCAGACTTCAAATCACTAATATCTAATAATTCAGAATCAAATCAGCAACAACTTACTAGATATTTTTCCAATGAAGTATCTCTGACTTTCAAGCTTGCATTTCACGTTATTTCTAACTAATTTTCTTTTAAAGTATCTTCGACTTAAATGTTTTAATTTCTCCAGTCTCCATTTAATTTATTTAAAATAATTCCTAAACTACACTCAGCGACTATATGTACGAGCTTACCAGGCTTTTAGTGCAAAGAATAGTTCCTGAACTAAATAAACATCATCGAATTATTAATTAATCTTCCATTGAAGCAAAAACTATAATTTCTTATATCTTATTTATCATTTCTCAAAACGCTTAATCTACATATCAAATTACTAATTTATTTTCCATTGAAGTAACTCAGGCTTCAAATCATTAATTTCTCATAACTCAGAATTAAATCAGCTTCAAATTACTAAATCATCTTCCATTGAAGCATCTCCGATTTTCAAGCTTTCACTTCACGTTATTTCAAACTCATTTTCCCTCAAAGTAACCCTGATTCCAGCATTTTAATTGCTCCAATCACCATTTGATTTATTTAAAATAATTCCTAAACTACACTCAGCGACTAATTGTTTGAGTTTACCAGGCTCTTAGTACACAGAATAGTTCCAGAACTAAATAAACATCAGCTAATTATGCATCCATCTTCTATTGCAGCATCTTCGACTTCCAAACTCTCATTTTTAATAACTCAATCTCGTTTCTCAAGACAGCACAATATTTATTTAAAATAATTATCAAACTACACTCAGCGACTAATTATTTAAGCTTACCAGGCTCTTAGTGCAAAGAATATTTCTAGAACTAAATAAACATAATCAAATCAACATTGAAGTAAAAAATTCATCTGTCAGCATTCCATCCATGGAGCATGGATGGTACAAGTGCCATCATGTTTTAGCATTCGTACCATTATATCATCAAATTCAATTTAGATTTTTTTTTGCCTCCTCCTCCGGCCTATCGTCGGAGACTTTATTTTTTTTTTCTATTTCAATTTTTTTTTGCCCCCTCGGCCTACTCCACTGCCCATTTCCGTCAGGGAGCCTACCGAGAGTATTTTCAAGTCTTCCGCCCTTCCGTCGGAGACTTTATTTATTTTTTCAATTTCCTTTTTTTTTGCCCCCTCGGCCTACTCCACTGCCCATTTCCGTCAGGGAGCCTACCGAGAGTATTTTCTCCTCCTCCGCACTCGCGTCGGAGAGGTTTTGTTGGTTTTTTTCTGATTATTTTGTCTTCTTTTCTTTTGCCCCCTTCGGCCTACTCCACTGCCCATTTCCGTCAGGGAGCCTACCGAGGGTATTTTTTTTCTGCCTTGCGTTGGAGAGGTTTGGCTCTCTTTTGTTTGAACATATACCTTCGCTCCTCCTTACTGTAAAAATAAATCACTACATGACACTACAACACAACTGTCGCTATCATTTCACTTGAATTTAAACTTAAAAAACAGCTACCGACTGCGCCATTGTCGTGACCTGGCCGAGGTTTCAAGCCTCAGCCATGTGTCTTAACAAAGACCAGTGAGGTGCACATCCGTGCGCTACAACATTAGTTAAATGACTGATTCGATCATGCCAAGCGATGCACACAAGGCTCAATTCGTTTCGTTCACGCATGCATATGTGTGGGTTTATTTAGACCATCGAATCAACGGTACACGCTAACTGAATCCAACTCAAATTGAGTATATCAAAACTTGAGGGGCCAAACTTTACTCTTTATTGTATTATATATACAAATGTAAATTGTAATCTTTCATTATCATTATTATTATTATTATTATTCCACGCCAACTATGTATACCACAATAACGTCGGACATAGTGGGCTGTATTCGTACACTGATGCGGTATACAGCACACTATGGCCGACGTTATGTTTAACGTATAGAACAAGAGTAAAATCGCGTTTCAATTGAAACGATAATAATCAATTAAAACACTAATTAACTCTTGCACTGTAACGTCACCAGGGCATTTGTTTTACATACAAATAAGCATTGCCCACAGGGCATGCCAAAATTTACTTCAGTGATTTGAGGCTATGTCAGTCGTGCAAGAGTTAATGATGGTAAGCTCTGCCTTGTAATCGCAATGTGCTATTTTATATGATTGCGTCGAGGATTGCGCATTGGGCACATACAGGGTGCGTGACGAATTTTTGCAGTAAATGGCATATTTGAGAAAAAATACACCAGTTAGTTATTCTAGCAATGAATTTTGTGCGATTTATTTTCTTTCGCAACATACACAGCAAAAAAAAAGTAATATGCATTAACGTAATTCACATGATGTACAACAAAACGGATGTAATCAAGAAAAGTAGATGTATAATAACATCCATTTGGATGTCATATTACATCGCTCTTTAAATTACACCGAAACAAAATTACCATTGTCCATTACGTTGCATCTGTGTAATATTCACATATTAATAACATTATTATTATTACACAGAATCAGATGCAACCAAGTCATTCCAAAATAGTTGTGTAATATTACACAAAATTTGTGTAATATCATATAATGTTGATGCTATATTAAATCTCGCAACACTGTAAGACATCGTTCTGGATGATCGGGAGTGAATGTACTCCACGCATTGCCAGAGGAAGCAGCAACCTGTAAGTTGAAATAATTTTTACAAATTTTAGTTGATTTATTGACGATTTCGCTTTTATCTTTGCAGAACATATGCGACGAGATTTTTTCATTGCCTTCAACCAGACGGTTAACTAAGCAGAGACGCCATGCTTTCTGGGAACCCTCAATGCCGACCAATACTGTTAGTGCTCCACGCAGTGCCGAAGGAAGTCCATCCAGCTAGCTGTACCTTCTACTTGACCCGAATTCAGTAGGAATGCTGATTGTCCATAGTCCATGGCTCCTACCACCCGGTGGTCAGCCCTTCAACACGGCGGAGACTAGTCGTTATGCTTTCTGGAAGTCTTTCATGCCGACCAACACTGCGCAGTACTCCACGCAGTACCAGAGGAAGCCGTAATCTGTAACTGAGTAACTGCAGTTTTTACAACTGATTAAAATTTATGTGAGAAAAAAGATAGCAAAGCAATTTAATCAACCACGTATACGTATATACATCGTTTTTTCCTCGGTTTTTTCTTTACATCGCATCACTATTACATCGCTTCGTTTACTTACATCGCATCTGTGTACATCACATATATTACGTCAGAAAAATTACATCGGTTTTGTGTGTCACATCATTTGATTCTGTGTACATCGTACAATGTGATATTACACAACCGATGGATTGACCTGGTTGCAGCAGTTTCGATGTAATATTCAACAACTTTTTTTTGCTGTGTATGGAAGTTGTAAGTAAATTTATTCAAAAAAATTGCCTTCCCTTTCAACGACTGTAGTTAGACGCTTCCGGAAACTGCAGTATGCACGTTTTAAAATGTTTCGATCCATAGATGTCATCACTGCCTTGATTTTAGCTTTGAGCGACTTAAGTGTGGTGTGAGGGGTTCTATTGGTATCCCGTTGGACGACGCCCTATACAAAATAATCCAACGGATTGATATCGGGACTGCTTGGGGGCCAAATTTCTTCCTCCCAAATTTACGAAATATTTTCCGTAAGCCATTTCTGTGCTTTATTAGCAGTATGAGCAGGTGCTCCGTCTTATCACTTTCCCAAGCCTTTTTTAATATTATACACTGTTCTTTCAGACACATTTACCGACCGAATTATTTCTTTCATGCATACTCCGGCGCGCAACATAGCGACAACGGCGGACAGATTGCTCTCTTGTATCGACATCTTTACGTTTACTCAACATTGTTTGTTTAAATCTTACACCTAACAGTATAAGCTATCCAGTGCTGCCAAATATATCTAAATCATGATGCACAAGCATGAGAAATTACTATTTGAAATTTACTGCAAAAATTCGTCACGCACCCTGTATATGAGATTATGAATGCGGAAACACTCATAAAAGTGCGGTTTTACGTTAAATTGTTGTTGTGTCTTCATCGCACTTATTCCTTGGTGAATGAAGAATAAGTGCGCAGAAGGCGTCAAGACGATACAACGTCTAAGTGTACTTTTATTAGCGCCTCCACTCTTCTAAAGAGTTCAATTTTATTTGCAATTGATAATGTCACAAACTATGCATAGGAGGCACTGCAAGGCACTTTTTATTGTTGTGTCATAGGATGTATTCTAATGTTTTATGCGTGCAACAATTTACATCGTGATGAACTTTGATTCTAATGTAACGTTAGGTTCTGTTGTCATTGGATGTATTTTGATGTTTATGCGTGCAACAAATTACATCGTGATGAAGTTTGATTCTAATGTAACGTTTGGTTCTGTTGTCATTGGATTTATTCTGATGTTTTAAAGGGTGTCCACGATGAAATTGCCACACTATGAAATTGCTCTAACTTTTTAACCGTTGGGTAGAATTTAATGAAAATTTGGGTGGATTTAATTCATAGTGCATTATTTACATCCAGCAAGTTTTAAAGTCCTGTGATCAATACTCGCGGAAATGGAGTCGAAAGAACAGCTCGTGCGTGATAAAATCTTGCGCATTCATCACGAGAACAAGGATCTCTCGCATCGTTCCATCGCTAAAACGTTGGGAATCGCGAATTCCACGGTGTCGCGAGTGATTAAGCGGTTCGAGGAACGGTTGACCACCGATCGGAAGCCCAGAAGTGAAGGAAAAAGTATTCCGTACAACACCAAAAATCACAACCGCGTAGTTGGGGCCTTCAACCGAAATTCGAACGCCTCCGTTAGGGATGTGGCTAAGAAGCTGCACCTAAGCCGAAGTTTTGTCCAGAAGGCCAAAACTAAGGCTGGGCTTCGAACGTTCAAGGTACAAAAGGCCCCTAATCGCGACGAGAAGCAGAACAAGTCCGCCAAAACCCGTGCCAGGAAGTTGTACCTCAACATGCTGACGAAAGTTGAATGCTGCATCATGGACGACGAAACATATGTGAAGGCCGACTTCAAACAGATCCCCGGCAACCTGTTTTTCACGGCCAAGGATAAGTTCAGCGTTCCGGAGCATGTCCGCACTCAGAAGATGTCAAAATTTGCGAAGAAATTCCTGGTTTGGCAAGCCATCTGCACGTGCGGGAAGCGGAGTGCACCTTTCGTGACCCAGGACACGATGAACGGACAGGTGTACATAAAAGAGTGCCTCCAGAAGCGACTGCTTCCTCTCCTGAAGGCCCACAACGTCCCAACAATCTTCTGGCCGGATTTGGCCTCATGCCACTACTCCAAGGACGTGCTGAAGTGGTATGCGGACAATAAGGTCAATTTCGTGCCGAAAATGTTCAACCCTCCCAACACTCCGGAGCTCCGCCCCATCGAGAAGTACTGGGCGATTATGAAGCAGCACCTTCTTAAACGACCTAAGGTAGTGAAGACAGTCGAGGAACTGAAGAAAGTATGGGTTTACATGCAAAAAACGGTTGACTCACAGGTTGTGCAGAATCTTATGGCCGGGGTTAAGGCCAAGGTGCGGGCATTTGCGTATGGACTGTAAATAAAATACGAGTAAAATGGTAAAATGAAGTTTAATAGTTATTTCTCAATCCCTGAAAATTTGATGGCAATCGGATGAAAACTCGAATTTTGCGAATCAATTTTGTGTGTGGCAATTTTATCGTGGACACCCTTTATGCGTGCAACAAATTACATCGTGATGAAGTTTGATTCTAATGTAACGTTTGGTTCTGTTGTCATTGGATGTATTCTGATGTTTTATGCGTGCAAAAAATTACATCGTGATGAAGTTTGATTCTAATATAAAGTTAGGTTCTGTTGTCATTGGATGTATTCTGATGTTTTATGCGTGCAACAAATTACATCGTGATGAAGTTTGATTCTAATGTAACGTTAGGTTCTGTTGTCATTGGATGTATTCTGATGTTTTATGCGTGCAACAAATTACATCGTGATGAATCTAATGTAACGTTTGGTTCTGTTTTCATTGGATGTATTCTGATGTCAAATTTTACATCGTCAAGACGTTTGATTCTGATGTAACGTTTGAGGCTAATGTATTTTTATGTACTTGGACGTCACACTGAAGTCTGAATACATTTAGGGTACAGCAATACACGTTAAAATTTAATGTATTGAAGATGTCTGCTGATGTTTCCTACATTACAATTTCTATTCGGGTAAGCACACCCTGCGCACCAAACACAAACTACACTACACACCTTTGTACGACAGACAAGAACAAGAATAAAACATTGATGTAAAATCTTTCTAGTCGCGTTTTTTTCTCTTCTCGGAAAGAAAAATCCGGATTCCAAATTCCCGATATAAATACAGTCCACTTAATCGAAGCAACAAATCAAGAGCAAATTTTCATTACGTCGAATGTAACAAAGGTAAACAAAGTCGAGCTATCAGTGTCA